ATATGTAGCCAAACTTTACTTCTTTCCTTATGGACAGAAACATACACAAGATCCCAGTTAATGCATTCTGTAATCCTTGTTTTTATCTAAATTGTTCTTGGAACAACCCTGTTCAAAAGTGGAACAGAATCCACCATTGCAATTAAAATAACATTCAGGTCTTCACGATGCAAATAACACAATGCTTATCAGAAAATATTAACACAAATTTATTGTAGTCCTGTAAGTAATTGTGCTTAAGTAGTTTAACTGTACTGGATTCAGAAACAGTTGCATGAAGAGTATCTGAGAAGGTTGCTCTCAGTGCCCTTCCATAACAAGTGCAGAAAACTGAACTTCTTAGTAACAGGCAGTGAAAGAGTTTCATTCCATTATGCCACTCTGTGTGACTGGGACAGAGACATCTGGAGGATCAGAGCATGGGGAAACACTGGTCACACAGTGTCTAGGACCTTCTTGTGGAGGGGAACCCAGTTCTGCTTGGGTCTTGGGACTGAGCCTATAGAGACACTGTGATCCCAGAAAAGAACAATACTGTGCCAACTTCCCTGCCTACTGCAATTTTGTATTTTCTGCTACGTGTTGCTTCTTTCTGCTTTAATAGATGCTTTAGTTATTTAGTTTAGCTTTTTACTTCCCTCTGTTTTGCCACTCCTTTCCCTTTTCTGCCTCTCCACCATCTTTCCACATCAATTTAAGCTCGCATTGGTTTGGATGCATGACTTCACCTTATGTCTGCAACACAGTCATTGTGGAACTTGCAAACTAGATGGTTCTGCTCAGATCCCTTTTCATCCCTGGCCCAAACCTTCGCTATGAACTGGTCATGAGGTTCAGAGGTCCAGACTATGCTGTGTGGGCTGGAGCTGAGTGCCATGGGAAAATGTTTTCTCCTCTCTTTTCTCCATTTCTGACTCTTATTTTTCTGAGCAGCCTTTGTGTACACGTACTGTCCTCTCAAATATTTACATGTGGCAGTCTGGGTTTGAAGTTAGATTTCCTGTAAAGCTGTTCATTTATGTGTCAGTCTTTAACATGTTTACATAGTGATCATTAGTTGTTCTGGTTTGTAGAGCCAAGTCCAGGCATTTTTGGCACAGTTCATGCTAATAATAGATGTTAAGACTTGAAATATATATATTTTAACATAGAACACTGCAGAAAATAATAGTTGGGATCACATCAGTTATATAAGTGCAAATAAGTGACATAAAGCAAAGAGAATGCTGGCATGGACACCATCAGAAACAACTTCACTGTATGTCTGACAAGAAATGTCAAAATCATCAATGATATATGTTAAACAGTTCTGCTGTTTATGATCAGTCTCTACTCTAAAGATCGGTTGTTTAAAATAGTACTAATTTATCTCTCCTCTAATCTAAACAGGAGTATCCGAGTGTGATGGTTGGAGTATTCATTGAGCAACCCACTCCATTTCTTCCTGAATTCTTCCAGAGGTTGTCGGCCCTGGATTATCCCAAAGATAAACTCAGATTTTTTGTCCACAACAATGTGAGTGTGCACAGCTGCAGCTCTGTCATATATGTCTCCTTAGATGTGACTTCTAATCCAGTTTATTAATACTGGCTCCCTGCTCAGGAGGTTTACCACGAGAAGCACATCCAGAGGTTCTGGGAAGAGAACAGAAATTTGTTCAATAGTTTCAAGGTTGTGGGACCAGAAGAAAATTTGAGCCAAGGAGAGGCCAGGAACATGGGCATGTATGTGTGGATCTACTCAAAATCTTTCATCTCTCAGAATCTTTTGTTTAGAGAAATGATGAAACCAGATTATGGCCCTGCCTAATAATAGATTTAAACTACTAAATTACTTTTACAGCGCTAACTGGCTTGATTTCTAGTTAAGAAAGCAGAGGAGTGGAGATGTGTTATGCATACACTGCAGTCCTACAGGTGTAATACGGTCCTATATGGACCTTATTCTCATCTGTAAGTATTAAGGAATAGTCTGCTGTCACAGTGATAAGTGACTCTGTGAGGTCTCATCACAGGGATCCCATCACATTCCCAGCAAGCCCAAAAGCATTGGTTAGGACAGCCCTATAATGACAATGCCTAAGATTTATGAACAGTCTCTAATCTTCCTAAAATCACATTATCCACTGGTGGGTCAAAGGTTGTTAGTAAGAGTCAGACTCTGCAATCGAAAATGACATCTTATACTTAGGTGCCGATAAATAGAAACTTGTGACTGTGATTACTTCTAAGTATGCCATTGACTCTAATCAGCTATGGCTTGAATAATCACTACTTTCTCTGCCCTATCTGTGTTTACAATTGCATTAGGGATGTTTGCCGTAAGGACACCACATGCGACTACTACTTCAGCATAGACTCAGATGTCATGCTCACCAACAGACAGACTCTGAAGCTCCTCATTGAGCAGAACAGGTAATCACACAGAGACTAGAATAGATGCCACGCTGGAAAGCTTTCAAAAACATACTGCTGCTGTGATCATTGAACCATTGAAGTCATCCCTCAAGTGGTAAAACCACAGGAACATTACAGCCGGGTGAATGGAAGTTTAAAAATAAGCCACTCTGGTGTCCTGTTTTTTGTCTGGCCACATGGACACAGAGAAGAAGTCTCTTGCAGTAACCCCATAATGCCACTTCGCATTATACAGAAAGCAAGCATTCAAAACCTTTTCCCCCTTCTGGTTGTGAAAAAAAAATCTTCCCATAAATCACATGTCACTGTGGCCGTGGCATGGCATTGACCTGTTGGAGGCATGCAAGCACATGCTTTTCTAGGATATTTAAAGGCAGCATGAGAATTTTCCAGTGGCACAACAACTACTGAAGGAAGATGCCAATTTGTCTCAACCATGAAATTTTTGAATTAGAAAACTTAATTATTTTAGACCTTCTCTTTTTTTTCATATAAATCACACAGAGACTAGAATAGATGCCACACTGGAAAGCTTTCAAAAACTTACTGCTGCTGTGATCATTGAACCATTGAAGTCATCCCTCAAGTGGTAAAACCACAGGAACATTACAGCCGGGTGAATGGAAGTTTAAAAATAAGCCACTCTAGTGTCCTGTTTTTTGTCTGGCCACATGGACACAGAGAAGAAGTCTCTTGCAGTAACCCCATAATGCCACTTCGCATTATACAGAAAGCAAGCATTCAAAACCTTTTCCCCCTTCTGGTTGTGAAAAAAAAATCTTCCCATAAATCACATGTCACTGTGGCCGTGGCATGGCATTGACCTGTTGGAGGCATGCAAGCACATGCTTTTCTAGGATATTTAAAGGCAGCATGAGAATTTTCCAGTGGCACAACAACTACTGAAGGAAGATGCCAATTTGTCTCAACCATGAAATTTTTGAATTAGAAAACTTAATTATTTTAGACCTTCTCTTTTTTTTCATATAATATGAAAGAAGGAAAATAAAAAAAAAATCTATTGGGTTTTGGGTTTGGAAGACAAAAGATAAACTGTGTCACTATATTTCATGCAAATACAAAGAGCAGATATGGGCTTTAAAAAGCCTGCTGCAGCATGTCCTTGTTTGAATTCAGCCAACCATGATGTGCAGGTCTAGTTTGTATTACACGCTTGTACAATCTGTTACTGACTTGGCAGTGATCATGTCTTTCCAGCAAGAGGTTGACCTCCTTGATGCAGCACACTGGTTTTAATATTAAGATACACAGTGCATTAGGTGGTTGGCTGTCTGTGAGATGTCACTGAGTTTTATCTGCTCTGACAGAATTACCATCTCTCCACTCTGCCTCCTGCAGAAAAATAATTGGTCCCCTTGTCACTCGTCACGGCAAGCTGTGGTCCAACTTCTGGGGAGCCTTGAGTCTGGATGGCTATTATGCTCGCTCTGAAGATTATGTCGACATTGTGCAGAGAAAACGTATGTAAGTCACAAGTGTACTACGAGCACATGCGGCTATGGCTTTGCACTTTTATAACTCACGCACCTGTATGTGAGTACTGGATCTCTCAGTACGTCCGTACTGAAACAGTTGAAACCCATGTTTAGCCATAAACAACAAGACACACAAGATGCCCTAGCTACATCTTAGAATGCACATGTAAACAGTGATTAAAGTCACGATCAGACCTGCACAGTGATTTAGCACTGAGCATCCAAGCCTGAGATGTGAAACAGCCACAGTCAAATTAAATTAACTTCTCTCTGAATGACTTTTTATGGGTAAAAAAAAAAAAGATGAGATGGCATCCAGACTGCACAGAAGAATAAACATTTACCTGCCACATTGGGGATTGCAGGTTTAATCACCCATGAGCCTGCAAGAAAGGAACCAATGAGCGATCAGGCCTTTGTTGCTAGTTCCACAGGGTACCTGTGTGGAGGCGGTTGGGATCCTGGGACAGAGTGAACCTCCAGGCCAACAACGAATGTTTGTAATGACAGAGACTTAGTGTAGCAGAACCTGGGAGAAAAAATTAAAATTCAGGGGAAAGAAAATAGTTTGAATGAATAATACATATACATATTTTACAGTAGTTGCTCTGTAACAACTCCTACAACACACCTGTAGTCCTGATTGGCGTGAGTATTACCATAACAAAAACAAAAAATAAATGCACATGTTAAAGGCTGCTGCAAAATGAGCACTTCTTTTCTCTCTGTCTTGTTGTTTCTAGGGGTGTGTGGAACATTCCTTACATGGCACATGTATACCTTGTCAAGGGCAGTGCCTTGAGAAATGACCTTAAGGAGAGGAACATCTTTGTTCTGGAGAAGCTGGACCCAGATATGGCTTTGTGCAGAAATGCCAGAGAAGTGGTAAGAAAACCCAACCTCCCTCTTTAGGGAGTCAGTGCTGTATTGTAGTTACATAGTCCATGAAATATGAACTTAGGCACTTAAAGGGAAAGTTATACTAGAAAATGAAAGTCTGTATAAAGAAAAGATTCAGTAAAACTAGTGTCAAAATGCAATGAATCTTAACCGTGGCTAAAGTCAACAGCTCAGCGGAAAACAAAGATGACATCATGGCAAGTATATGCGGTTTGAAATGTCTGTCTGTCATCAAGGCATGATCCTTCTCTGTTTATGGTTGCTCTATGGTGTGTTAAAGGTCCTTGCACCACTTACTGCATATCAGTAATCCTTCACTTTCTGTTGCTCTCATTGTCATATGACCACAGGCAGTGCAAACTGCAGTGTCTGGCTGGCTAGCCAACAAAAGTTATCTTGTCTGTTTTTCTCTCCACTTCTAAACATACTATATACTGTTTATCCAGTAGCACTTAATATCACTCACATGTCCCCTTTGCTCAGCACTAAACATCTACCATGCCTGATCCAAACTCTGTGTACTTCTGGATTGCTTGGACTGTTCCCCAGCTTGCATTCCTCCCATGATAATCCACAAAAACATCAGCTTCAGAGGGAATCTTGCTCCTTTTTCATGCAGGCGAATTTCCTGTCCTCCTGAGTTGCTATGTATGTGACATACTGTATATTTCAGCTGTCACCCTGTCTCTTGTTCTGAAACAATGATTTATGTTATCCTATTTACATGATGCTTCTCCTTTATTTTAGACCAGTCACAGAGAAAAAGACTCCCCTTCTCCGGAATCATTCCATATGCTCAAGCCCCCAAAGGTTTCCATTGTTTTAATTATTCTGCTTTCTGAAACATCCTTTTCCAATGGGTTAGCACTCAAAAGCTTTGTATCTGATTTGGTCACAGATTTACTGACCCCATTAAAGTTAAATTCTATAAATGTGTTGGTTTTTCACTTCAGACATACTTTCATTACAGAGTGTTTTATACACTGCATTCTCCACTGGGAATGACAGTACATGGACACTGTCAAGTATTTCAGACTGGACAGAAACATATTTACAGAACATGTTTGTTCAGTTGCTGTCTATGTTCTTACATGAGAAATTAGGACAGTAGCAGCTCTTTGGAAATTGATGTTGATTTTGCTTGTGATGACTTTAGGTCTAAAAGCAGACATGTCAAAGTTAGAGAAAGACCTATTTTGTGTCCTGTTTTATAATCGCTTGCAAGAAGAGATCACGGAGGAGAACAAAGTCAGTCCACATGCAAGTCCCCTGTCCTGATGCTTTATCCCGAACAGCCAAAACTCACAGCAAACACTTATAACCAGCTGCTCCCTGTAAACATAATGACTGATCTCAGACTAGGCTCCAAAGATAATTATTTTCACTGATGCAAACCACCTGGTCTAAATCACAGCTTTCACAAGATGATTTTAAACGTCATCAGTTTGGAATCTTACACCAGGGGTATTACCAAACCATTCCTAGTTCATATTTTATGTCATTTCCAAAGCCTAGTCTGATAACGAGTCCAAAATCCCTACATAGCACCCTCTCCAAGCTTCACCGTAGAGGTAATATCATTCCTGGATTTGCTTTGTCCCGAGCTGACCAGCACCCTTCTGTTCCTGCCCCACCCTGTCCTGTTCCAAACCCACCAACCCCCCTGCAGTCCCCCACCCATAAATAATCTTGGATTATTTATATGGCGTCTGTGTCTATTTTGGTTCTATCCAAGTTAAACATACTTGATTTCAGTGTGTTAAAACACACTTAAATCAGACTATTTTACTTTTTGTGCAAATGAACAGTTTGCCACAAATACCAGTTTTTATGCCTGTGCTAACCACTGATGAATGTTCTTGTTATAAACATATACCATAATCATAACTGCAGTTTGCTTATGTACTGTGGATTTTTGTGTATTATGGTTATGCAGATATGGTTCAGTTATAAATCCTGTCTAGAAGACATTACAGAGAATTTTATTGCAAGACTGACTGAACTTTTTCCTGTTTGCTCCAGGGAGTCTTCATGTACATAACAAACCGTCATGACTTTGGGAGGCTCATTTCCACAGCCAATTATAACATTTCTCATTATAACAATGACTTGTGGCAGATATTTGAAAACCCTCTGGTAAGTTATTATGATCTCTCATTATTCTTCAACCACAAAAACATTTATTTATTTATTTTTTTCCAAAAAGCTGGAATAAACAGTGGCCACCTGTTAAGGTTATTGGCAGTAAAATTACAGATGTAAGAAGTGCACAGTTTTGAGAATGATGACTTCAGAGTGATAAGACTCCTGACTGATAAGGCATGCTGAGACCTGCCTTGTTGGAGAAGGTATTGGCTCTATGAGGTATGCAGGTCAGCAGAGAGTTCAAAAACTGTCTACTAATGGTAAATGGTCTTATACTTGTATAGCGCCTTTCTATGCTTTTACAGCACACTCAAAGCGCTTTCACATTATTCGGCCATTCACCCATTCGCACTCCCAAGCACTCATGCATTCACACACCGGTGACATCACCGGGAGCAACTGGGGGTTCAATGTCTTGCTCAAGGACACCTCATCTGAAATCCTTTCTCCTTGCAGGACTGGAGAGAGAAGTACATCCACCAAAACTATACTCAAATTTTCACTGAAAACTACTTAGAGGAGGTTTGTGTTTACTCTGTGTGTATCTGAATGTGTTATTCTTGTTCAGAGACTGAACAAGAATAACATAATACCAAAAATCTAAAATCCTGAAATCCCAACAGCTGTTTTTTGTAATAGCATATATGTGACTCAGGTCTCAGGAGTGTCTTTGTGTACGTGTGTGTTGCAGCCTTGTCCAGATGTGTTCTGGTTCCCAGTCTTCTCGGAGAAGGCTTGTGATGAGCTAGTGGAGGAGATGGAGCACTATGGTTCATGGTCAGGAGGCAAACATGAGGTATGTTCCTGTTACATTTTCTCTGTAATCAACACATGTACTGATTTTTTTTCCTGTGGTTATGTTTACACATCTAGGACAGTAAAGTACTGTACGTTTCATTTATAACGCATGCTAGCAGCTGTGTGAGACTGGGATTAGGCACAGCTGGAAACTCCAGAGCTCACTGTGAACAGTTAGTTATCGAGTTAGTTATCATAATAAAGATGATTTGTTTGTGTGTTTTAAATAATCACAACCAGACATAAATAAGAAAAAAGTGAAAGTAAGGAAATCATTTTGTCCTCATGCTGTAAACTTCATTGCAACACCCATATCGTTGTTGTCTTTGTTAGCTGGGTGAGCTGTGACTTTCAAGCTACCATTAACAGCCATCTGGGAGCATCAGATTATAGCCAGATGTAGTGAGCAGTAAGTGGAATACTCCTCTTAAGCTATTTTAGGATATGCACCATCATACACATGACTGGTGTTCAGGGGACTTGCACACACATGCTTAATTTTTTTACCTTCATCTCCAGCTCCACTTTTGAAATATAATGAAATTAAAAGGCTATGCTTCTCGGTTTTGTGTTTGTGGTGTCTAACTCATGTAGCCCATCTTATGTAGTTTGGCAGTGGTAATTAATGTGTTTAACAGTTTGCTTGGAAGACTGAATAAGTACAGACACTGACTAACTCTGTTCGGGAGAACACTGAGCTGGTTGGGTCATTAAGCCTCATGCAGGCAGGCGACCCTGCGGTTTGAAAGACACACATCTACGCGCAGACACATCATCATCATTACTGAAAACTGTGGCCACACACACTGAGATAGTGGGTCATTTGTTCCATCGTTAATCACATTGCACTGCGCTTTATTTCATCTTATTTTTCTTCTTTTGCTCAGGACAGTAGAATTGCTGGAGGCTATGAGACCGTGCCAACAGACGACATTCATATGAAGCAAATCAGTTTTGATAAAGAGTGGCTACATTTCATCCGAGAGTTCATATCGCCTGTCACGTTGAAGGTTTTCTCTGGCTATTACACTAAGGTTAGTGGGACGTCATGAAGAAATAACAGGGAGATGTTTCAGTGACTGAAAGGTTTTGGAATGGGTTACCGTATATTTTGGAAGCTACACCGACTGTCACGTAACTTGACATATTTATGTACGTTCATCGTAGGGTTATGCTGTAATGAACTTTGTGGTAAAATACACGCCTGGCAGGCAAGCGTTCCTGAAGCCTCACCATGACACATCCACCTTCACCATCAACATCGCCCTCAATAACAAAGACAGAGACTTTCAGGTGAGGAATTGCATTGAGGGTAAGGAGTTGGGCAGATATTAGAGTGGAATGCCATCTGCATTTACCATGATTTGTTTCACAATTATCAATCCACGTTTTACAAGAATTTGTACAACCACAGTTACTTTCCCGTCTCCTTTTTAGGGTGGAGGTTGCCGGTTCAATAGGTATAACTGCTCCATAGAGTCACCGAGGAAAGGCTGGAGCTTCATGCACCCAGGACGACTGACTCATCTCCACGAAGGCCTGCCCACCACCAACGGCACCCGTTACATCGCAGTGTCCTTCATTGATCCTTGAACCGTCTCATTATACTGTAAACTAGACTTGCTTCTTGCTGATTTCTGTTATTTTGGTTTTGTCATTTCACACATTGTGCCCCAGATGTTTCGTCTATGCAATTCTTACTTAAATAGCTGCATTTAAAGAATCTCGGTCAAACAGAGTGTAGAGTGGAAGGAGAAATGCCAAAATTAATTCAGAGTTTACAGTAGATACACAAATATGAAACGTATGCTAGCAGGGTACAGGGCTGCTCTTCTCATTTAAAACCATTTAGATTTAGATCCTGGCAGGGATTACTGGTGCTGTAGCTTCTCCTGATTTTCACAATACTAATTTAATGTTGTCATGGTAAATGTTATTAATACATACTGGTGGCTTTGTTAGCAATTAGCTGTACCATGCTAGCATGCAGATGTGTGCATCTATGCAAGTTTCAGGTAAAATGTCATTTGTATACTGTAAAAACTCATCATTCCTTCAACAGCTACTAATGGTGCTCAGCCTTACATGTTTCTGCAACTGAATTTTAAAACTGTTTTTGGGTGTAAGTTATTTTTCTAGTTCCACTTAAAGTTTAATTTGTGCACAATGATAAAGAAATTTATTATTGTAACTTTGCACACCAGAAATAACAGTAAGCCAGCAGTGTTCGGTATGAATTCTGTTTGACTGAAGTTCTATTTTCTGTCATACTTGAAAAGTTTTTCTTCTTTCCATTTTGGAATTTGTCAACATGCAACTTTCCTGAAATAATTTCTGCAAAATTGGTTCTGAGAGATGTGTGAATGAAATTTGAAAATAAGCAAAAGTTGTTTAAGTTATTGTCAAAATTTAATAAAAGTCTTTAAAATACATGTATCCTGACTACATTTTTTATTATGATTTATTATTTTCATCATCAAAACATCAGTAATGTTTCATTTAAAGCACAGTCTAATCATTCTCTTTTTGAGATTCTTCACAGAGAAGCAAAGTAGTGTCTGGAAGTGATTACTCACAACTGCAGACAGGCTTCCACTATGTTATCACTGTTATAGTTTCATATTCCAAGTTGTTCTCCACTCAACATGTCACCTGGAGAAACAATCCAACCTGATCTGGAGGGGAGTACTGCTCTGCTGCAGGGACTAGCACTGAGATGTTTGGGATGTGGAGTGATGTGATTTCTCAGTGCAAATGTAGTCCAGTTTACCTTAGGGACTGAGTGCAAACATGTACAAGTCAAAGGTCATTTTCTTATCCCAAGTGGCAAATTATTCTGCTGGTAGTATATGTCAACACGTACACACAAGCAAAAAGAAACAGTCACACTAAAGGTTATAATGAACTTTGCCCAATCATATATTACATACACTTGATCACAGAGATAAGCTTCTGTTAATGTGCGAAATTGATACATGCCGACCATTTTAACCCTGTGATGTATCAGTTTCTCAAGTAAAACATCTTTTTAGTTGATTCCACAACTTTTTTGATTCCACATCATTAGAAAAGTCTATGAGGGTTAGTGAAATACCTTCAGAATTTGGGTGAGTGTTATGAAATAATGGTGCAGGGTTATCATGGTCTGCAATTATCAGTTGTGCAGATTAACCAAAGGTTATCTTTTCTAGTGATCTTTCTTACACACAGCATCCACCTGCGGTTCAGGTAACTTTGTGAAAGTTGTGCAGATGGGGTTTATGAGACTGGTGACAGAACAGAGAAGCCTACACAAAACATGTCATCCCCTAGAAAGGAGCATCGGCACAGTGATTTATAAATCTGAATGCTGGTAAACTCTGATCATACTGGAGACAGATATACAAAGAACTGTGATTTCTTTAGCAGTTCCAAGCTCCTACGTGTAAATCTCCCTAACTAGGCACACTGTCCTGTGAAGCCTGGATGAAGACTGAATGTCTGACTATCTGCTATGAGGCAGAGAGGAGAGAGCAAGGAGATTTAGGTCAGCATGGGAAAAAGGCTCTCAGCTGCTCAAAGAGCCCTTTGTGGCCGTCGTTTACCCTGGTCAGCCCTGTGTCCAGACCCTTTGAAAGGTAACATTGATCCCAGCCAGGCATGCCGGAAAACCTGCATTCCTCACAGGCTCTCACAGTTATGCTTTTATCAAAGGGCTGTAATGGAAAGAAGTGTTTCAAGCTGGATTTATCTCAAAAGTCAGACAGCATAAAATAAAATGAGTATTTCAAATGCAGAGGAAGGATGTTTTAGATACTTTTCCTCCTTTGTTTTATAAAAGACAGCTTTTAGTTTTTACAGTCAAAGCCGATCATACCAGGATGCCACACGCTCCCTGTTTAACCCAGTGAACACCCACGCTTAGGGTCAGTGGAGCTACAGATAGGAAACAGGATCCCATACCAAAGTAAATCTAAGTCTGCCACTAACTACAGGGTGCCCTTTAACATATAGCAATTTAGCTATTACTGCAGCACATACTCTGGTCCTGACTAAACAAAGGATTTAAAGTAAGTGTTTTGCAATAATGTAAGAATGCAACTACCAGAGTCCAGTTTGTTGTTTGTACCGTAAATACAGTCATACTAGGTGGCAGACATGAGCAGTTTCTAGCTTTAATTAGTGTGCACAATTTTTCTATTTTTATATAGTCACATATAGCCTATACTACTTGGTAAGTACTGTAGCAAGTACCACAGTACAATAGCAGTTTTATGATCTGGTATCTACCATACAAAATTTAAAAAAGACTTTTCACTGGTCTTTGAAGCTATTTTATCTTTGGCTGCTTTTAATACTAAATGCTTTACTAATGCTCAAAAAGAAATGTGTTTTAGATTTTTTCCACCCAGGCACTGTAGGTTTGCCAAAGTTAGTCAAACTGGAGAAAATGCAGCAGTTTAAGCTTTTTTTGTGAGACTTTTTTAAAATAAAAATGCTTTTGTTAATCATAATAACGAAACATATCACCCATTATAGTGATGTAGCTAATTGATGGATTTTTAAAATTTTTTTATATTTTTTAATAACGGTTTATAGGACAAACAAGCCTTCAGCAGTTAGTGAGATCAGTGGGTGGTTCATTGGTCTTTTCAGAGGATTTGGTGAAAGTAAGACTATAGAATATTATCAGCATTATACTATAAGTTAAATAAAAATATACACCACCATTGAAAACTGTCAGAGGTTTGCACACACACTGAACTCACTTGCTGAGTAGAAGGCAATACAACTTGTTTATCCAAGAGGCTTACAGAGCAGGCCAACTATGTGTGTGTCTTATATGCAATCTATTGCACGGTTAACAGGACATTTTTCAAATTATGTGTGGAAAAGAGGGTGGAGGTGTGTGGGGGTACCCGGGTTCAGGCAGAGTGCAATTGTGAGTCAGGCATTGGTGGAAAAGTACTGAGATCGAACACATTCACAGCGAGGATACATTCAGTGCAGCTCTGCATACGCATTTAGTGGGTGAGTTTTTTTTTTTAACAAGTTTAGTACAAAGGACATTAAAATTATTAAACTTTCATCCATGAAAGTCAGAAATATTTGAAAGTTTGAAACAAGACACCTTCTGTGCAGTCTGCTACTTGGCAGCAGGGAATCTCTGCAGCCCTGTATTCAGCATTCTTTGGGGGTGCTGTGGCATGAGGCCTGCTGTTGTTTTGATACTTGACTCACATTTGCACTCTTCCTGAACCCAGGTAACCCCCCACCCCTAAGCAATCTTGCTTTTCTCAACTTAAAAAAATGTCAAAGGTCAAACCATTCTTATCTATGCCATTAATCTGGAAATCTGTGTTCATTTCATCACCTCGATGTCTGTAACTCTCTTTTTTCTAAAGCAAAAACAGGATTTTAGCAGGTATGAGCAAACAAGAGCACATCACACCTCTTTTAGCGACTTTGCACTTGTTGCCAGTGAATTTGAGGATTGATTTTAAAATGTTACATATTTAAAACAAGACAGGACTGGCCCCAAGCTACGTCTTTAACCCCATACCTGCCAGCCTGCTCCATGAGATCCACAAACACAAGGCTTCTGACTGCTCCTAAGTTTAGATCACAAAACAAAGGAGATCAAGTATTTGCAGTCAGAGCTTTGACACTATGGAACAGCCTCCCTGAAGAAATCAGAGTTTGCCTCATCATTTAAAATTTTTCTTAAAAGACATTTCTGCAGACTGGCCTACACCTATGTTGTTTGTCTCTCATAATAGGCAAATAGACATGAACATACGTGATACAAAAATGGATTTGACGTGTCAAGTAAAACGAACATGATTCTTGTTGTGTAACCAACAATAGTACCGTACTTATTATGACAAGCCTACCTTCATGTCTGTCTGTCCCACTAAGTAATCAAATATGGCCACAGTCCACAATACCAATTACAGCTGATTGCATGCTTTGAGACTATCAGCACACTCCCTTTTTTTTTACCAGCCAGACTGTTTACCAGCTCAGAGTAAACTGGGTGCAAGTAACATTTAGCCAAATTACACAGCAACACTCTGTAAAAACAATCAGCAACCCCACACTCCCAGACAGATATTGATTCATGGAAAAGACAAAAGTGGATTATGGGTGGAGGATGGGGAGCTCCCAAGAGCCACAGAAGCCCTGTTTAGTAAGCAGAGGAAAATATATGTCACACAACAGGGCCTTTTATGAACTATTCTGGGGTCTTCTGAATGATACTTTAGTGTGTTTAGTCTGGGTTTGCTCCTCCAATCAGTTGACCAGCGGATGAAAGAAAAAAGAGAGTAGGGTATTCTGGCATTAGGGTGTGTGTGTATTTGCCCTTGTTCTTGTGTATGTGGAGAATTTATGTCTTGTGTCAATACAGGCAGAGAGGAAGGAGCAACAGGAGGCCAGTGTTCAGAGCCCTGGAGCCCCCATGTGGGTACAGAACATCTGTGCTATTTCTCTCTGTGAAGTGAGTAGTCTGAATAAAGTATCACATACAGATGCCAAATTTGAAGACATCTCTTCGAAGCCTTCCTGGGATACGGTATCATGTTCACAATAACGGGCTGGACAGATGAATGAACAGGCAGATGGACGGACAGCCTGTAAACACTACAAAAATTGTGAAATATATTCTTGAATTTAGTAAAACATTGCCCAGTGATAAGCAGAGGAAGGCGATGAAATGACCTGATGTTTCTTTTAGTGAAACAGATGATGCTCCTGACTTTGCTTTGCTACTTTTATCAGAGTTCGTTTGTGATTGTTGGCACACTCTTGCAAATGGCCACCCACACTCACCATGTCTGTTTGAGGACAGAGTTTTAATGATACTTAGGCCTAAATAATTTCAATTTAGTTCTGCAGAATCAGGAATGAAAACCCACCAGCTTTTTAGCATAAATTAAGGCTCCACTAAGAAATGCATAGGATCAATATATAATATGAAATAATTGAAGTTTAATTAATAAACCTCAGTATACAAAAGTTATTTTTTTCAGGCTAGGAGTATAGAATGTTATTCAACATCTGGGTTGCCATGATCACAAACATATCACTTATGCCAATAGCATTTCTGAGACTTTATGGCCATGAATTAAAAAAAATCACAGATGTGCTCAGTATAACATAGAGTAACAACAGTCCATCTAAACCTGTAAATTTTGTGACAAAAGACTGAGTCAAATGTCTCGCTAGCCTGAATGTGCCACGAGGCACAGGCAAGGCTTAGCCAGGAACCTGAAGTGCATCAACCGCATTTTTTTCAGCATCTCAGTTTGTAGTTTTGTCAATTAGCTGGATGAGCAGTTGCAGCAGTACAGGCTGTGTTCTTTTCTTTCCTAAAGATGCTCTTGTGTTTGTGACATCAGAGCATTCCCACCATTA